TGTGACACGACAACGTTATAGCCATTAGAACCTATTTGTAAAAGTCTTTTCTAATTACTGACCATATGTTAATCTGACATAGCTTGATATTTGTAAAAATGCTTGTAAATAAACCCAAATTTGACCCACCTTATCAATGAAAGATGCAAATTTATCATTGAGGGCCTGCAGCTCCTCCTTCTCTTTCATGCGTGTGACCTGCACTGTGTCCAGTGATGGGAGTATTGGGTCGATGCTGGGCATTGGACCGGCACCGGCATCCACCGTAATGGTAGAACTGATGAAGGATGGGTTGAAACCATAGCCTCCGATTTTAAATACTCGGCCCCCTAGATGGGCTTTCAGCGGAGCCACACCAGCCCTGATCCCCGCTGCTCTGGCTCCGCCGGCTTCCAGGCCGAGGCCTCCACCGAGAGCGAGAGCACCTCCGCCGAAGCCCAGTCCTGCTCCTGCACCAGCTACAGCCCCAGCCCCAAAAATTACAACCAAACCTCCTCCCAGGTCGAGACCAGCTCCTGCTCCACCCCCTCTCGCCAAGCCGAGCGAACGGGACAGAGCCATGCTAACGCCTCCACCGCCCCTGGCTCCGGAGAACAGACGGTTGCCTCCATAGGTGGCTCCAAATCTGACGGCTCTCCCACTGATACGCAAGCTTGACTCTGTCATATCTGCACTCAGAGCTGGGGTCCAGGTCTTTGCCGAGGAGTCCTGGTGCTCAGTCAGGATGTTTTGATCACACTTTGTTCTTTAAATACCCAGCTCCTTGAAGGGCCGCCCAGAAAGGTTCACTGTAGCTGTTGTTGGTGAAAGTCATATGTTCCAACGGACAGACAGGCGAGCATCCCCCCTGCAGGCACTGATTTCTCTCCAACATGCCTGAGGTAATTTAACAGCCTTGGTATGTGGGACTGAGAAAAATACAAACCCTGCAGCAACTTTGTGCACATTTAAAGAAGAGTATAATATGACTGGCATTTTCAAACTCATTTTATATTAATGTATAGTCTTCTTGTTGTTGTTGTTGTCAGTGTTTCGCTGCTTAACAATTTGGTGGAAAC